CAAGCACAGAGTCCACAGAGCAGCTGTGCCCAAAGCAGTAAATGGTTTACTGCAGAGTGATGGGAGTCCAGAGGGGAGTCCTGCCTCCTTACTAATTGACCATTCAGGAAGAAAGAAAGTCCCTGCATGCATGATGCACACAAGATGGGAAAGGAGGCATAAAACCCATTTTGCCTAAGGTACCAACAATACACAAGCTAGCTCTGAGACCTCTGCTCCTTTTGCAAAACCACTGACAAACTTTCTCTCCCTTCCTGGTCACTGCAGATAAGAAGCTGCAATGATATTTCAAAATATAAACATTAGGTAGGAAGAGGCGGCAACCATATTGCTCCTTAGGCAGAAGCTGATTGCCATCGATCATTATTCCTCTCACATCATGCAGAAAGCATGCTCGGCTGATGGCTATCTCACAGAAAACAGGGAGCTTTAAAAAAAAAAAGGGAGCGAGAGGGAGAGAGACAGAGACAGAGAGCAGGTTACAAGTCCTTCTATCAGTAGAAACAGCTGGAGGAGGTGACAGAGAGACTATGATAAAAAGAGGGTGTTTTTTGGCAAGGGAATTTTTCTTCCTTCATGTCCTTGGTATGATTCCCAGAGAATAAACAAAAGTATTGGCAGTCATTGAGGATTGTGTTTTTTCCCCCTAATTTGCTGACTGTGAAGTAAATAAATATGGTCAATCAGGCCTTGGAAGAATACAATCTTGGATACAATCAACTTGAATTTTACTTGAATTCTTTCACTAGGCAGGTGTGTAGGAACCTAGGAAAGCTTTTTCATTTCATTCCACAATTCTTCTCTATCCAAGCTTAGAATATGCAATGCAAAGCCAGTATACTAATTTCTGTAAACATGGAAAAATCCTTAATTCAAAGATAATCTAACTTCAAAGATATCCTTCACAAGTACTCTGCTAACATTATTCTTTTCAATTTTTACTTTTATTGGCTTTGCGATAAGCAAAACTTGAAAGCAAATATGCACCTGAAAAATAGCAGTAATGTTTTGTTTTAGATAGTGGCATTGCAATATTCATGCTTAGGGCAGCTTCACTGGCTGCTGCTGTTCAGGGCACTGGTTACCCACCACAACTTATTCCTCTTCAATACAAGTCTATCCTCGTTTAAGAGCAGAAGAGGCTGGTCTTTCTCCATGCATCTGAAGTACATTTGCTGCGATCTTGGGAGTGGGTTTTCTTATTTCCACCTCCAAGTTCTAGAATTCCGAGGGATACCCATCTAGCCTCTTTTGTGACCAACAGGCAAAGACATTTTTATTAAAGCCTCACAAGTCTACTTGTTATAGCCATTGCCATGTTATAGCTACGTCAACTGGCTGTTCTTTTGAGTTTTGCGGATCTTATATTGTATTGATTTAACCTTTCAATGCTGGATCTGGCATCAGAGGAAATACTAGACAGAAAACAAACTTACATAAACTAATAATACAGAAATTAGTGAAAAGAAACATTACTACATATTAAATACTGCTACAGAGTGCATTCTCTCCATTGGTACTACTGTGGCTCCTCACAAATAAGCTAAGGCTCTGCCTCCATTAAAAAAAATCACATTTGTACCTTATTTCTACACTGGTTGGAGTAGCCAATGTTTGGGGGAGGCCAAGAAAATAATATTTTGCAAGAACTTGATTGAATGGCAGGGACATTGTCTTGGAAATGTCAAGAATTGTTAGATTCATGAGAAGACTGACCATTTGAAATAAAAAGATCTTTAGTCAGAGAAAGAAAAGGATTAACTTAGCACTCCAGCACCCAGAAATGTACTTGGTCTTTTTATAAATGTTTCTGCTCCCTCTGTCTTTTAGCCCCATTTATTAATAAAGTGGAGAATATAAAGTGTTCATATTCAACTCATCAAAAGATTTGCTGAATTAGTCATATTTGCAATGTTGATCTATCACATAAATATCACTTTTTATTTGAACATTACATTGCAAGGCTATAGGGTCCCATTTTTAAAAATGTGCTCTCAAGACCCCCTTTTAAGGGGACCCAGGCTGTTAAGCTGGTTGTCAAAATGCCTCTTCCAATTAAAAGGTGTGGGATGCACTTGTGCAGTTTCCCAAGTAGCCAGAGTCTTAGGAAAATATGCAATGCATTGTCCCCTGAGGTCAGTCAGGAAGAAAAGAAAAAGAAAAAAAATGAGGATTGTGCCATAAAGCGAATGTAAACCTTAAACCCCACTTTCCTCTAGAAAAGATTCCTCATGCTTTTTGCTTTCTTTTCACACTAGACCTTCTGACAACTGTCAAGGGAAAGCAAGGAAAATGCCTATTTGGAGTCAGTGACCAGTGTTGGAACTTACTGCCCCTTGACAGTAAGTATTCCCCTGCAGGACATCAAGACCCTAATTTTGGCACTCATGGAACTGCACATCTCTGCAATTGCCAAATGTGGATTTTTTAAAAAGACATTTTTTCAAAGCTTATTGACCACCAATAACCCCTCCTGTGTCCATTTGAAGAAGTTGTCAGTGGCGATCAAACTGGAGATTACGTCAAACCTATAATCACCTGGAGCGGGGAAAGGAGACTAAAGGGGCAAAAATCTTCACTGAGCAAAAAAGGCTTGTGATTGCAGCAGATGGGCAAGTTGGTCCTACCACAGAATGGTACTGAGGTACAGAATCCCACCTACCACAGAAGGATACTGAGAGAAAATGAGGAAGAGGAAAGGGGCAAGGTCACCACTGAGCCCTGTCGTCTGTCAGGAGCATGGTGTGTTGTTCACACAACAGATAAGCAGGGTGGGTTGGCATGGCATGCAAATACACTCCATGTGTATCAATTCCCTCCCCTGAAATGTTTTTTTCCTGTGCTACTTTGGCCATTAAAGTGTGAAGGGGCTACTCATACTATGTCTAAACTGAAATGAAAATTCCTTCTTGAGGTCAGTGTAGTGAAATGGTTCTGTTAATATTTTTTTTAATGGCCCTCAAAATTATTTAATTCTGTACCTCTGGAGTAAAAGGATAATATGATTTTTTATCGGGCCAAAAAAAGCTTGACATGCACATTTAGCAGACAGAAAGAAGAATATATGAATATGTGACACTCCAGAAAATACTGAATATCTTTAGGTATTAAATGCATTATAGGAAAGGCTACATGGATTTTCTAAAAATTATGATTAATAATACCAACCAATAATCAAAACTGTCTGGGCAATTTAAACTGAAACCATAAAATACATCGTAAAACTTAAACCCATTAAAAGCTTAAAACATAAACCAAAATAAAACTCGAGTAAAAGTCAGCAGCAACAGTAGTATAAAGATCTAAAAACGGAGAAACAGATTTACCAAAAAAAAAAAAACCCCCCAAAAAACCCTGACTCAAAAGCCTAGGAAAAATTTTAAAAAAGGGTTTTCACCTGATGCCAAAAAGAGCACAATGCAGACACCAGATGAGCCTGTTTCAAACCACTAAAAGGTTGTGACCACTGAAAGGTTCCTCTCCTTAGCAGCTACCTGCTTCATCTTGCTTAGTGAAGGCACCCAGAGGAGAACGCATGCAGAAAATCTTAGGGTTTGGGCAGATACATATGGGAGGAGATGAAGCATGGAAGCCAGTGCAAATCACAAAACACTGGCACGATATGATCATATCCACCAGGCATGATTAACAATCTTGTTCCTTTATTTTGGCCCAGCTTGATTTTCTGGAGTGTTTTCAAAAGGTATTCATCGATAATGCATTACAATAATTCAATTTTTATCTCCATTTTAAGTCTGCTCTTAATACTGGAGCTTTCCTACAACTAAGTTGTTTAATGTCACTATTACGAGGAACTTGAAAACTTTCCTCATCTGCACAGAATCTTGCGCTGAAAGTCCTGCAAGCTTCTGTACTTTTGGAAGAAGCCATGTTGTGGCAGAGAGACATGCTCTACTTTCAGTACATTCCCACCATTTACACAAAGTAAATCCCATTATCTTTAATAGGATTTTCCTTCTATTAAAGCGTGAAGAGGATTGTAGTCTTTATCTACGACCCCTAAGCTTGAAAATGTGTTCAGGATGCTGCAGGGAAACATGTTTTTGTAGTATTTTAAATTTGATGTCTGGCAGTGCCTTTTCCCAGACCCCCACGGAAAGCGGCATTTTTTTGCTCGGCCAGTAATTTGCGTAGTCCTTTTTCATTCTTTCTTACCGCTATAAGCACCCCTATCGAGCCCATACAGAGTTGGTAAAACCGCGCGGCACGGGAATTACTGTCAAATGCCGATCGCGGCGTGCTGCCTGTCTGCCAACCAGCGCACAGCGAAGAAGGAGCGCGGCCCTCCGAATTCCGTGGGATTTACTTCTGAGTAAACAAGGCGAGCAGCAGCCAGGGGGGTTGAGACGGACACAGAAAGGCAAGGCAAAGCGGCAAAGCTGGCGCCTCGGAGGAAAGGACGGTAGGCGAGAGGAGAGGAAAGGAGCCGTGGCGAAAGAGGGAGGGGTGGCGAAAGGAGCGGGCGCGCAGCAGAAGGAGGCCTTGTTCGGGGCTGCAGTTGCCGCTCTCAGTCAACAGGTTGCACCGTTCCCCCTCGGCTGCCCCGCAATGCGCGCTCTCGCCGGCTGGCGGGCTCCCTCCCCGAGCGCGCCCTCCGCTATGCCGTGCCTCGCTGTGCTGTGAGCGGCCGGACAAGCGCTTCCCCTCCTCTGCGCGTCTCTGCTCTCCTTCCATGTCTGGGAGGGAGGGGGCGGGAGGCGGAGGCAGCCGCCTTCGCTGCCGCCGCCACTAGCGCTGCCGCGTCCTCCATTTTGTGGCAGGGGCAAGCCGTAAAGCCGAGCGCAGTCGGAGTAGCTGGCGGCTGGAGGAGGAGAGGGAGAGGGAGCGGAGGAGGAGGAGGAGGAGGGAGGAGGAAGAAGGGGGAGGGCGGGACGCTCGGTGGGTGTGAAGAAGAGAGGGGAAGGGGGGCAAAGGAGGAGGGGGCAAAGTGTGGCTTTAATTAATCGAGGGGAACAGAAGAGTGTCCGTGTGGAGCGGAGTGGGGGGGAGAGGAGCAGGTGAGGGGCTGCTGTCAGTCTATGCAGGGAGAAGCGCGGGGGCCGGCTGTCGCGGCGGCTGACCTCGTCGTCTGCAAAGGGGCGGCTGCCTTAACCCCCACCCCACACCCAATCCCGTGCCCTGTAACTCTCCTTCCTCCCAGTCCCCCACCAAGTTGTTTATTCGCGTCGCTTCGAGCTGGAGCCATGGAAGTTGGCGGTTAGAGGAACCCCAGCGCCCCCACTGGATAATAAGGTAAGGGGTGTCCTTTAATGTCTGCCTGTGGGGAGGGGAATGGATGCTTTCTACTTTTAGGATTTGTGCCTTTCGAAGGGAGCTGCATTGCTGAGGAGGAGGTGGCGGTGGTGTGCTTTTTCCGTAGAGGTCACCCTCCCCCATCTCCAGCAATGTCTACCCCCCTTCCTCCTCCTTCTCCTCCTCCTCCTCCTCGGCAGCCGTTTAGACCAAGCGATTTGTTCCTGAGCCGTGAGGCCAGATAAGGGTGGGAGTCGCTTTTCTCGTTGTGTTGCGTCTCTCAACTTTAAAGTCGTCCACGTTAAATCTAGACTTGGGTGGAGGGTGTGTGTGTGTGGACACGCGCACGCACACACACACGAGAGAGAGAGAGTGAGTGTGTGTGTGCGCGCGCGCGCCCCCGCCTTGGGTAGGGGAGTGATTTGCTATCCTATTTCACAACCATCTTTGGCTAATTTTAATCCCATAAGATAATGTCCAAAATAGCCAGTCTTGGAGAGAAAGGGGTTCGAAGTTAGGCTTCTGTTCCCACTTACCTCTAAGTAAGTCGCATTGGATTCAGTGGGACTTCTGAGTAGACTCGTACACTGTAAAAGTAATACCTTATGTAATCGATTTCGCCCTCCCCGCTTGTCTTCGAGAGGGAGAAAACGAATATTTGGGAGTATTTTTAAAGCATATTTTGACAATCTTCCCTTTTTTTCTCAGTTTTTTTTAAAGAGATCGAAGTTGTTTTCCCCTTTTTTTTAATTTGGCGGGCCCAGGGAATTGGAAACAGGCAAGGAGTTGAAAACTCAAGAATTGGGGTGTGTGTGTGTTTTTTAAGGCAAAGGACTGATGTTATTTTGCAGAAGTAGGCGTGCCAAACAAAATGCTCAACAGGTCCCAACACATTTTTTCTTCACCTCCAAATCTACTTCTTGCAAAGGATAATTTCTACTCAAAAACAGTGTGCTAAAATATTCTCGGGTGCCCCCCCCCCCCCCATTACTGCTTCATATGATAGATTTTCCCCTTTGGCGTTGTCTGTCATTCTAATGGTGTGTGTGTGTGAGTGTGAGAGAGACTGACTCCTATCAAATGTAGTAACTCCCCCCCCCCATTCTTCTTCCTTTTTCTTAAGAACTCTTACTGCATGGATGTGTGTGTGTTTATTATTACATGATGATGCCATGGCTTCCCAAAATATTTTAAATGTCCCATGCAACATTTAAAGAGAGAATATTGCAGAATTGCCCATATCACTTTTGTATGGTTGTTTCAGTATTGGAGAAAGCTGTCCGGAAGGCTTCCTAACTATTCACTAAGCCCCCTTGTAGCTTTCTGTGTTCTATACAGTTTCCTAAAAAGGAAAAAGACAAGGCTAAAGAAACTAAGTATTATTAGAATTACTGCATTACTTCAGAAATAAATGCCTTCTGTCAACCTGTGAGACTGACCCCTTTTGACATCTGATTGTATTGGTTAATCCTTGACCTCCAATCTGTTATTGATGGGAAACTCAAAGGAATTAGCTGTTTTTTAATACATGGATATATGCCAACTTTACCTAGCTTTTTCTTTATGCATGTTGGTGTGAAATAGGGAAAGTTTATCATTTTAAAATTAAATTATCAATCTCTGATTAAGTTCTACTATTTTTTAAGTATTAATGGGTTGCACTTTGATTTATAATCTTTAAATGCCAATTGATAGTAATCCAGATAGTAATCCAGTTGTTGGGCCATGTGTTCTTCCCACTCATTTTTCAAAATATATGTCTGTTTATTTCCATTTGTATGATTCGAAATTTGTTACAGGCTTGATCCAAAGTAGAATATTTGCAAAATTGTCCAGACCTGGAAATTAAAATGCGACAGCTTTTAATTGTATATTTTCAGACTTGGGAAGTGGGGGAAGAGAGAGGAAAGAGTGGGAGCCATTTGCAAAATCAGTAGGCATGATAAGTAATGTGGTATTGTTTGGAGATCTTTTTTTGTAGTGAAGGTTGGAAAGTACTTGGAGTGAATTTTTGTGTGAGTTGTGACATAGTAAAATTCTTGTAGGTACATGTGCAGTAGTATTTGACCAGATCTTAAAAGCTCAAGGGAAAGTTCTTGAAAATAAAAAGTAATATACAGAAAACACAATTGAAAAGTGCTTTATTAGTCACTGCTTTAATTACTATGTAGGTGTTTTGATATGAAATAAATTATATAATTAATATATGTGATTTAGTGACACACATGAAAGATGTCCTGATTTTGAATAGTTTTTTTCATGATATTAGAGTAAGTATGATTTTCATTAAACCCTAAATTGAGAAAAAAACAGTTTGCAGCTGTTAAAATAAATTGGGTCAGAAATATTATTTAAAGGACATTGGAAATTACAAAGCTTATGCCTGCCTTTTTCATTACAGTGTTTTCTCTCTGTCAGTGTTAGAGTTCGTAGAGAACTAAATTTGCACTTCAGATATTGTGCTAATGATGAATATTTTTCTTCCTTTATAACCAGTATTAAAATAATGGAGCCCAAAGAATCACTAAAATCCTCAGGAGGAGAGGAAACAGGGAAAAGCGCTCACTTCCATGACAAGGGAGGAATTGTGATAGATTTTCATCCATCCTTTAGGGGTGGCGCTACTGTCAAGACTCCTGCATCTACGTCTCCCTTGCCTGCCTCTTCTCAGTCCGACTCCAAGCAACAACCTGTTCTGTGTGACTTGTCAAAGGGATTAGGAAGTAATGTGCCGCAGCCAGATCTCTCCAAAGCAGTGTCACTCTCCATGGGATTGTATATGGGTGATACTGATGCAAAAGTGATGGGAAATGAACTTGGATTTCCTCAGCAGGGTCAAATCAGTCTCTCTTCTGGGGAGACAGATTTTAGGCTCCTTGAAGAAAGCATCGCAAGTTTGAATAAGTCCTCTGGTCTGGCAGAAGGCTCAAAGGGTACTGTGTCTGTCAATGTGCCCTTAGAATCAGAGTTCTCAAGTATGACTAGTCGTGATCTTAGTTTAGATCAAGGGGCTTTAGGACGAGGCCAGACTGGCAGTAATGGTGGCAACTTGAAGCTGTTTTCTGAAGACCAAAGCACCTTTGATATTTTGCAAGATTTTGATTTAACACCAGTGTCTCCAGGAAAAGAGACAAATGGGAGTCCTTGGAGAATGGACCCTGTACTGGATGAAAGGAGTTTGCTTTCACCTCTTGGTGGAGAAGACGGTTTACTCTTGGAAGGAAATGAAATGGAGGACTGCAAGCCTCCTATTTTACCGGACACTAAACCGAAAATTAAAGAGTGTGGGGATCCTTTGTCCAGTTCTGCAATGCAAATGCCACATGTGAAGACTGAAAAAGAAGATTTTATTGAACTGTGCACACCCGGGGTAATAAAGCAAGAGAAAATAGGCACCGTTTATTGTCAGGGTAATTTCTCTGGTTCAAATATGCTTGGAAGTAAAACATCTGCCATTTCTGTTCATGGTGTCAGCACTTCTGGAGGACAAATCTACCACTATGACTTGAACACAGCATCTGTCACTCAACAGCAGGATCAGAAACCAGTTTTCAATGCCATTCCATCTCACCCTGCAGGTTCAGAAAATTGGAATAGGTGCCAGGGCTCTGGGGATGATCCCCTCACACCAATAGGGGCTTTAAATTTTTCTGGAAGATCTGTCATCTCTAATGGGTATGTAAGGTAAGAGAGTTTTTTCGTATTTATTGCAAAATAGTTAATACAGTAATATTCATGTTGATTTTTAGTTAAACCCGATTACTAATTTCTTATGCTTGGTGTACATATGTAAATGCATTGCAATCCATTTAGTTTGATTAAATGAAAGGACTGGACCATTAGAAAAGGACAGTTTCATTGAGGTTTAAAATGTATCTGAGATGCAGTGTTTGAAATAGGAGTATTAAACACAAATATCTATTGCATCTATAAATTCAGGCTAATTTTTAACCAAAAACTCCATTTAGAATTAGTGAAAAATGGCAATTTCTCAAAACAGTGAGCATTCTATATGCATGGCTTTATGGGTTTCCATTATGTCAGGGTCTTTGAATTGTAGTTTGTTAACTGCAGTTAATGCACGTTCAGCTCTTGTGATCTTAGTAACATTTTCTGTTAATCAGAAAAGACAAAGATGATATATCTTCTAATCAAAGTCATGATTATATTGTTGAAAAGTGAATTAGAGGAAAATATTTTGTAGATTTTAAAAATGGCAAATAATGTTAATGTCAAATGCTGAAAATATTTGGTCCAAAATTTTATGTAAAAGGTCTTTTATTCTCTTAATCCAGGTGATTAGTGTCTCTCTAAATTCTAAAAATGTAAAATGCAGTGCCATCACTTGCCAATCTTTAATTTCAATTGTTCTCCCCCATTACTTGTTCTTGCCAACTAAATTTTATGTTTTCTGTTGGGTCTTTAAGAGCTTGAAAACCAGTCATATGCATAATAATGTTAATGAACTCTACTGAAGTCAGTGGGTCTTATTCTAATGATACTTTGAATAGGATTTTTGCATTGACTTTTGGATGTATCACTTGTTTTCATGCTAGATGATGAAATTGATATTTTTAATTATTTTTACATGAACTATCTCAGACATGATTTCTTCTGCAGCAGGTTCTTATTTTGAATTTGATTTTGAATTTTGAGGAAAAATTGAAATATAAACCTTGTTCCTCTGCCACAGCGCTTATTAGAATCCTGTTTCTTTGAACCTTCATCCTTTGCATGCTCAGTTTGGCATGTATGAAGCTATGGCCACAGCATTTAATGGATGGGAAGGGGGTATTTCTGCAATTGTCTGCTTTATTAAATTGTTTTCAACTGTTATTACATGTCGTATCATATATTATGCTTTTTCTTCAAATTAATGTTAACTGCCCAGAAAGGTTTTGCTATTGGGTGGTGTACAGATTAGATAAATAAAACTAAGAAATTATAGGGAATGGGATGCATGTATTGATCTCCCATCCTGTTTAATATCCTGCTTTCACTCATAATGTGCATACCTGTTGTGGTAGGGAAAGGGAGGAAATAGAGTTTTATGGGAATCTCTTTATGGCTATATATCCCTACACATAGAAAGATTTTGACCAGAATGTGTGTTATTTTGTATTTAAATGAGGTACTATTTATCAGGCATGTTTTTGTGGCATAAGCTTCTAGTATATTTATCATCATTAGCTTTTGTTCTAATACATTGTTCTAAGTCTAAACTTGTAAAATCTATGAAATATGCATTTCATAGTGAAAACCTTGGGATTTAAAAAATGGTAGTATTGCTCAAACTCATTTCCTGGTATGTTTGAAACTTTTGCTTTGGAAATATTCGGTTGAAAACGGCTCTTTGTACATCTGGATTTATTTCCTATGTTTAGCTTAAAAGGTGGATTAGACGTAGCTTTTATTTGTGAATTGTTCATATTTTTGTAGGAAACAGAACTAATATACAGTTTTCATTCAGATACAGTTGGTGCCATCTGTCATTGTAGGAATAACTTGCACTCATGTAGTGGGGCTGCCTTATTATCCCCACTGAGCTCCTCAAACTCTGCTCTGGAGGTCTCTGAAGTATATTTGATGGTGTACATCAGCGGTCCCCAACCTTCTTTATGTTGCACAGCCCTAGAAAATAATATCACATTTGAAATGGAAGAAGTCACATTTCTAATTTTTGAACTACAAATTAAACCATATACAGTACTACAAGTGAACAAATGGAACTCAAAAAATAAGCTTTTAACTCAGTGCATAAAATTCAAGTATAAATTGAGCAATTAGAAAAAAATGTAAATAGTAAAACCAGTCCCACTTGTGAATATACAATTCCATGTCCTCTTTGATCCTGCTTCTCATTCACAGTTATGTCAAAAGGTGGAACTTCCTTGTGGATTGCAATCTGCAAGTTTGCCTGTGGATCAGGCAATTCCTAGATTTTGTCTTGATTGCCAAAAGATAACTGAACCCAAATGCAAACTAAATAATAATAAACAATTTTATTGCAATTTTTTTGCAAAAAGTCACAATTTGCCCATTTTGGTGAATCGTGACGCGGCCTTCCTCTTTGTCACATCCCCTGTAATGCTATCCGGTGTACAGGAACTTCAGGAATCTTTTTCTTGGTAGTCAAATGCAAAAGTGTACAGACCAGAGTCCCATGACACTTCAAAGGTTAATGCATTTGCTGGAGCATCTTTCCTATGAGGAAAGGATGCAGCAGGTAGACCTGTTTAGCTTAGAAAAAGGATGACTAAAGAGAAGGTATACAAAATTATGTATGGTGTGCAGAATGTGAATACGGAAACATTTGTCACTCATAATAATAGAATCTAGGGGTCATCCCATGAAGCTAACAGTTGGGAGGGAGATTCAAAACAGATAAGAATAAGTATTTCTTCATGCAGCACGTACTTAAGCTATGGAATTAACTTCCACAAGTTTTCATGATAGCTACTATTTTTGATGGCATTAAAAAGGGATTGAACAAATTTACTGAGGGTAAAGCTATCAATAGTTACTCATCCTGATGACTATATGCTACTTCCAGTATTAGAAGCAGTACAGTTGTGTACACCAGTTGCTGGGGAACTTGGTAGGAGAGTGCTATTGCACTCAAGTCCCTCTTGCCACTCTCTCATAGGCAGCTGTTTGGACACTGTATGGATTGAATGCTATATTAGATGGAGCCTTGCTCTATCATAGTGCTTTTTATATGTGTGTGAACCAGGTCTAAGAGGTAAATGCCTAATTTGCTATCCTGCTCTGCACTTTTTGTATAGTTTTGAGTTGGTTTTAGGCTGTTTGCTTGTTACTGAATTAAAAGCACAAAGTATTGGGGGATGGTCAAATACAAGCATGTTTCAGTTTTGAAATGAAAATTATACCAAGTCAAGCAGGGAGGATTGATTTAAATTAGCAGTTTTAAGTTATGATTTAAATCAGTAAGAAGAAAATCTGATTTTAAATCATTGCTTCTAATCAGGTTTCCTATTGATACAGTTTCATATAGGATTTAGATCAGACTAGTGGATGTCTGCCAGCATAATGGGACATTTGCCCTCCCCCCTAAGGCACTTTCTGAAAATCTTGGAAGGGTTTCAAGTCCATTAGAGAAGATTTTGAAAGCAGGAAGGGGTTTGACCCTCTACCCAGGTGTGATAACAACCCATAATTTCTAAATATGATGCAGCTCTTACCACTATGTCATGTAAATATTCAACTAAGGGTGTACTACTATACATGTTATATAGGAAAAACATGGGCAGGATGGGCTGGGGGAAGTCGGGAATTATACAGTATTTTACTTCTAAACAGTCATAGAATTGCTCCCTAAATAGAATATCATTTACACTGTTGCATTCCTTGTATCATTTGGTTACTGTAAGTGTTTTGCTCCAGTGCTTATTTATTTGTTATATTTGTAAACCATGCCTGTAGCCCTACATGGACTCTCTGGGTGGTGTACAGTTCCACTGTAAAATCAACAATAAAATAGACAAACTCCATAAAATAATATATCTCCATAGATTCAACTAAAGACTGTACATGTATAGTAGTATAAAATCACCAATATATTTTCTCTCTCTCTCCATACACACACACACACACACATTTTTTTTTTATCAAGAACAATCACATATCTGGAAAAGAAAACAGTGTCTTTGCCTGACACTGAAACACTAGTAATGAAGGAACCAGACAAACTTCTTTGGGGAGCCTATTCCAGAGATGGGGTACAACCACCGATAAGACTTCCCTCCTATTTGCCATTCCCCTCACTTCTTTGGGGAATGGTTCTTTAAGAAGGACTTCTAACCTAGATCTTAGCAGATGGGGTGGTACATAAGGGAATAGGTGGCTCTTCAAGTATCCTGGTCCCAAGCTGTCTGGGGCTTTATATATCAATACAAAGCCTCAAACACTTTGAATTGGGCCCTCGCCTCAACTGGTAGCTAATGCAGATGATATAAAATCAGCATAATATGGGGGGACAGACTAGCCAGTAGCGATGCAGCCCTGTTTTTTACCAGTTGAAGTTTCTGGACCATCTTCAAAGGCATCCCCACTTACAGTACATTACAATAGTCCAGTTGGGATGGTACCAGAGCATGGGTAACGGGTCAGGCTCCATCTATCCAGCTGAAGGAAAGCGCTCCTGCCCATTGAGACTCCCAGAGACTTAAGTGATAGTTCTGGTTCAAGAGCACCACCAAGCTGTGGACCCCCAAGTTTTAAGCAGAGTGCAACCCTGTCCAGGACAGGTTGAAGGTCCCCCAACCTGTAAGTTAGTTTGTCCTCCAGTGGTACCTCAGTTTTGTCTGGATTGAGTCTCAATTTATTGACACTCATCCAGTCCATTACTGAACTCAGGCACTGCTTCGAAATGGACACCATTTCACCTAGATTTAATGTGAAAGAGTGGTAGAGCAGAGTTGTCACCATACTGCTGATACCTCAGCTCAAACCTCTGGATGACCTTTCCCAGCTGTTTCATGTAGATGTTGAAAAGCATGGGAGATAGTATAAAGCCCTGAGGAATCCCATGGCATAAATGTCATGGCATAGAGCAGCTACCCCCCAGCACCACCTTCTGGACATGACCACCGAGGTAGGAGGGGAACCTCTCTAAGGCAATGCCTCCAGCTCCTAATCCAGCCAGCCTGTCCGGAAGGACACCA